AACGAACTAACGACAATGAGCTAATGACAACAAGCTAACGACAACGAGCTAATGACAATGAGTTAATGACAACGAACCAATGACAATGAACTAACGACAATGATCTAACGACAACGAGCTAATGACAATGAACTAACGACAATGAGCTAACGACAACGAGCTAATGACAACGAGCTAATGACAACGAGCTAATGACAATGAACTAATGACAATGAACTAACGACAATGAGCTAATGACAACGAGCTAATGACAATGAGCTAATGACAATGAACTAACGACAACGAACTAATGACAATGAACTAATGACAACAAGCTAACGACAACAAGCTAATGACAATGAGTTAACGACAATGAGCTAAGGACAATGAGTTAACGACAATGAGCTAAGGACAATGAGTTAACGACAATGAGCTAAGGACAATGAGTTAACGACAACGAGCTAATGACAATGAGCTAATGACAAAGAGCTAACGACAACGAGCTAACGACAACGAGCTAACGCAACGTTTACGCAACTAATGCGTTTCAGATTCTGACCAAAATTTCTTTCAGTTTAAGATTAGTTTAATCTAAATTCATAGATATTTAAACTGCTGCTAGTGGCTCAGTAGGTTCACCATGGTAACCACAAACCTGCATCTATCGCTCCCTGGCTGCCACGTTAACAACAGGCAGACAGAAACATACTGAAAAGTAAGCCTCAAAGAAGAGTTGTGCTAAAACTACAAACCAGACGTTCTAAGTTCTTAAAGCGTGAGCAGCAGAAGGCTCTGACGGTCAGTTTGGATGTTTCTGCAGAGTTTGTTGGAGATATGAGTAAAAACACACTTTCTGCTTTAAAGAGAACACTTTGAATCAAATACGGCAGAAGCTTTGCATTCTGGGAGATTTGAAAGAAAGCCACGAGTCCTGCAGCAGCGAGGCACGTTTAGATGTATAACTTGTAGATGTGCTAAAATAGTTTACACAACATTTTCATTTCAGACAGCTCGAAGGTTCAATTCAGTTCAGTTTATTTCTTCAGCTCCAAGTCACAACAGAAGTCGTCTCAGGGCTGAACTGAAACATTCATCTATAAAATAATAATTGAACAGAAACATTCATCTATAAAATAATAATTGAACAGAAACATTCATCTATAA